TAAGCTGCTAGCGTCGATTAAAATTTGGTTGGAGACGATTAAAATTTATATTTTTTTACTTATTAAAATTTGATTCATGTTAATTAAAATTATTTTTTTACTAATTAAAATTCAATGTGAGTTGATTAAAATTTGATTCGACGAATCAAATTTTAATCTGTTCAAATTTTAATACAGAAAAAAATATAATTTTTAATCAACTTGAATTTTAATACGTATAAAATAAATTTTAATTAACTCGAATTAAATTTTAATACATAAAAAAATTCAAAAAATAGGAGGGGTTTCATTGAAGATATATTTATCTAGAGAGGGTGTGGGTAAATTTTTTTAAAAAATATATTATGGATAGTTTAGTAAAATTATATTCTACTTAACGTCATTAATTTGATAGGGAGTGTCATTGAAGATTCAAAAAATAGAAGAGATATTTTTAAAGATATGATAAACTAGCATTGTGGAACTGAAATTTTTCCTATATATTTCTATTTCTACGTGCATTTGATTGAAGTCCAAAGTCCAAAGTCTATGATAAAATCCATTGGCAACTTGGAGAAATGGAACAGCCTTTTTACACGCTCTTTAGTGGTCTACATGCCTTTCAATATTTTTTTATAATTTCTATTTTTAATTGATAGATTCTCTTTCATTTTAAATGCAACTGCTCAAGAATAGAATAAGGCTAATCATTTGAAAAGGATTGGCCACCCAAAATATTCAATATAAAGCAAGTTGATTTGTGGGTCTAATTTACATGGTCAATATCATTAATTAAATTTTGAATTCTTGTTTGGCACATGGTTTGCTATGCCCTTTTCTTTGTAATGTGCCCAATTTTACAACAAAGTATTATAGTTTTATCTTTCTCAGCTCAAAGTTCAGCTTATGTTTCTTGAAATATTTCGTTTGGGATCAAAATTTGCCGTAGTGAATGCACAAGACTCATGAAAATAGAATGAAGTTGCATACTATTTATTCTCTCAATAACTCCCTACAAAAGAAAATCAAACTTTTTTTTTTTTTGTTTTGAAAGAATGGTGACCCATGAAACATTGACAAATCACGTCATGTTAAATAGACGAATACATGTTAAACATTAAAGGTTTTTTGTTTTCTTTTCTTGTCAAGCACTATTGAAGAGTTGGAAAACGACGAGATTCAAACTCGTGACCCGAAGATCCAATAATGGAGCTCATTAATAGATCTTCATTTATGAATTCAAATTAAACTCGCTCTATATCTTCTCTCCATCCACAGATTCTGAGTGACTTACCTTTTAATGAATTGAAAAAAAAAATGTATTAATGAGAATTTAAATCCTGAGGTGGAAGAGAATTTAGTGCAAAAAAAATAGAAAGAGTTAAAATAGACATAAAACAGGTACATAATCCAAGCTAATTAGTGCTACAGGTCTTTAAAACTAACAAATGAAATAAAAAAGATCTTATATAACAGATTCTTTTGGATATAAGTTGGACTGTCTCTCTAGAGAAACTTGATGTATATCCAATAGGTGGCATGCTACCTGGATGGTCAAAAATTTCCAACCCATTATGTATATATAGAGTGTGTGTTTGTGAGAGAGAGAGAGAGAGAGAGAGAGAGAGAGAGAGAGAGAGAGTTTTTGGGTGTGTGTAAAAGTATCTCTGAATTTAAGATCATGGTCCTACCTGTATGTTAATGGGATCCACTCCTAATTCAAAAGCTATGTCTCCACTTTGTCTCCCACATTGTTCTCAAAACCTCTCCCCCAATATTGTACTTAACATGATCAACCATGAGAGAATCATCATATAGATGTTGAGGTTGACTTCCTAGCCGACAAACCAATCTTTTACTGCAACGTGTCATCCAACCCACCTAGAATATAGGACTTGGATTGAAATTTGACTAGTAAATTTTCTCCTTTTCCCAGAAAATTTCTTGCCTGGTAATAGTGTTTTACTTTGTAGAAAAAGTAAGAGGAAACAAAATTGAGTAGGTTTAGCTTACAAAGGAAAATGTGTTCCATTACAAGCCTACAATACATGAGGGAGTGGATTAAAAGAGGATGATATCAACCCACCACTTCCATTACATCAACATCTCTCTGCATTTTCTTTCTATTTTATTGGATGAGCTGGTGAATACAGTCACTAAAAAAAAATATAAATGGATCAAAAATAACTACAAAAATATATAACAAATATTTTTTTTTGTAATAGATTTTTTTGTTCTAGAATGTAGTTAGTGACACTGCACAATAAATGATCAGCATAGTGCATTGCAAAATTATCTACAATACAGAAGTTGGATAGTTTACTTACAGCATTTATTGACATGTTATATGCCTCCTAGGTAGTTGATGCAAGGAAGCGGGTAGAAAAAAAGAGTATGATGAATAAGAATAAGATACTACAATTATACCGTTGATTTGCGTGTAAATACTGATTTAGAATTTTATTCTAGAGCTGTTAATTCATAAAAATATCAGTTTTAAAGACTTCAATTGATCTGTTAAATCAGAAAAATTACTAAAATAATTTGAAATAAAAAAAATCTCCCAAATATGTTACTAAAAAAAACTACTTACCTCTAAGGCTTATGGAAAGTTTACCAGAGAAACCAATGGAGGGACCAATAACATTAATGAAGTTGACCAGTGATTCAAGAACTATTTTTCGGAGAGGTTTCCTCCTCGCTGCATTTTAGATTGTTAAAAGGGAGAGACAGTATAACAGCTAGGACACTAGTGATTATTTAGCGTTATTTTCGATGGAGACTCAAACTTTTACTTAAATTTAAATAAAAAAAAAAAGATAAAAAATATGATTTAGTATAGACCTCTTCAATAGAGAAATCCAAATTTAAAGGAAGATAAATTTTTTTTTAAATAAGGATAAACTCAAATTTAAAAGAAAGTAAATATGATCATTAGATCTTTAAATGAGAGTGTAATCTCACCATTAGTGAAGAAGGTACGGATTTGAGTCTCTTTTAATATTGGTTTAAAAAAATTTTCTCTTTTTTTAGTATGAGTATGAGTGTGGGTGAATAACCCTAAAAGACTAGCTAAAACCATATTTTTTAGCTATTTTAGATAATTTCTCCTTAAAATGTGGCTATAACAAACTAGTTATTCTCCTATCTATTTTCCATAACCCTATTTTCATTAGCTACATCTAGTTAGTCACTTCTCCCTAACTACTTCAGAAGTTATTGGTCTAGTGTTTGGATGAGGCAATCGATGGAGACACGATGACATCTAGTTTGATCAAACTCGAAGCCTTCAGAAGTTTTTAATCAAACTCGAAAGTTTTGAGGTGATTTTGTTTTGGGTTTTGTGATTTAATTTGAGAAAATTTGGTTTGGGAGTAGTAATTTTCGGGAGGTGGGTTCTCTCTTATAGCTTAAAATTGATTAAATTTGTACAATTTATAGTTGAATTGTTATTTTTTAAATTTTATTATTGAAAGTTAGGTAAAGTTAGTTGAAATGGTTAGTTAAAATAGATAGCGTTGTTGGAGTGAATTTGAAAAAGTGATTAGTTAAAGTAGATAATATAATATTTAAATATATTTTGAGTAGCTATTTTAAATAGCATTGTTGGAGATGTTCTAACATTGGAGAAGATTTTTAAGAATTTTTTACCCTTTCTTAAAAAAAAGTACCAAAAAGGGTAAGGACTGGAAATGCTCTAACAAGGGTATAAATAGTGTTAAAATCCAAAAACAAATTAGAAACTAATAAAACGTGACCTAATTATTTTTAATTATATAATTAAGCAATTAATATAGAGTTTGCCAAAAAAAAGAAAATTTTCAAACTAATTATACAGCTAAAACTACTAATAACCCGAATTAAGGTAGAACTGACGACAATTACTTTTGATTTTATACGGTGAAGTTTTTCAACTACAAAATATTACCAAAAAAGATAAAAAAAAAAAAAAAAAAAAAACTCCCTTTTCCGGCCCTAAATGAAAGAATTTACCCCAATTCCGCCTTTGGTCATCGCATCCCTTGTTAGGGATGCTATGAGTTCATTTCGTCCCGTCGTTACTAACTGGACTTGGATGTTTAAAAACCCATGTGTGTGGAAATGCCTCTAAAAAGGTCAATCCGTTTGACCGGCCTGAACCACCCCGACATCGAGCAGTTTGGTTCAAGTATTGTGTTGCTATATGATATGCATCACCCTTTCCATCTTCAGAAGAATTCGCCCTCAAATTCTCAAGGTATGCGAAGTTGTCCCCACGATAAGGAACAAGGTGTTTGACATTAAAGACATCTGAAGTGCGAACGTGACTAGCAAGCTTCAACTTGTAGGTAGGGATGGCAGTGAACCAAAGAAAAATGGGTATTCGTCTAAACCCGTCCCATTTGGATCGAGAATGGATTATACGTATTGGACAATGGACGTATACAGAGATACCCATATAAACTCGTGTAGGGATTGACTGAAACTCATCCCCACCCTTTCCTACTAAACCCACCTCCCACCCACACATTCTTCTCTTAACAAAAAAAAAAATACTTTACTTTCTCTCTCTTTTTTTTATCCATTTGTTATATAACGGGGTTTCATCCTTCTTACAGGATCATTTGTGAGGTTTTATGATTTTTTTTTTAAATCATAGAAATTAATTGTTATAGACAAAGAAGAGGATGGGAACAGGGATCAAAATTTACCTATAAGGCGGGAACAAGGATTAAAATTTCTCTAGTTAACGAGGGTGTACGAATATTTTTGAAACAGGTACAGGGTTGGAGAATACCTTCCACCACCCCTGCCCCGGTCCACTACCATCCCTATCTTTAAGCGTTCGAATTTATTTTCTCCACTATCTCCAATGGTCCAATTTTTTGCGCTGATAGATTTTTGTATTCACCAACTGAGAATTGATCTTTAGAGAAAATGGCCCAAACAAAATCTCCAAACTCAAACTCCACTGAACGACAATGCTTATCAGCAGCTTCTTTATACTTCAAGACTGAGTCAAGACACTTCTGATGAGCAGACTAGTGCACCTCCTTCAGTTGTTGAATGAAATCTTCAACTTTGCCATGGACTCTCTCCAAATCAGGGATTGGAATTAGATCAAGTGGTGATTTTGGGTTAACACCATATCCATACATGATCTGGAAAGGGCTACAACCAGTACTACGGTTGAACAAATGATTAAAAGCAAACTCTTCGCATGATCACCCACCAAACTGCGCATTAAGTTACCCACTGAATGGTTGATTACTTCAGTTTGACCATCAGTCTGAGGATGATAGGCACTATTAAACTCAAACTTCGTGTTGGCCAGTTAGGTTGTGCCAAAAGTGACCCATGAAATAAGTATTGCGATCAGATACAATAGACTATGGTAGACCATGTAGACAATAAATATCATTGAAGTATAGATAAGCAACCTACAATGCATCAATGGTCCTCTTGCAATAAATGAAATGTGTCATTTCAGAAAATCGATCCACCACCACATAAATGGAATCACTACCCCATTGGGTTCAAGGTAAGCCTAGAATAAAATCCATGCTAACGTCGACCCATGACTGTTGTGGCACCAGAAGGGGCATTTAAAATCCCACATTCATGGTGGTTCCTTTGGATATTTGGCAAACGTGGCAACCATCCACAAACCTATATACTTCCCTCTTCATGGTAGGCCAAAAGTAAGAGTCTACAACTAACTTCAGAGTCGTATCCCAGCCCACATACCCTTCATTATCCAATTCTCGAAAAATCTGAAATCGAAGGCTAGAATCTAGAACACATAATTGGTTTCCTCAAAAAGAAACCCACCAGTCATGTGAAAATCAGCTCACGTTCTTGTTTGGACATCAGCTAAAACCTAAGCAAAATATGGGTTAGTGACATATAAATCACAAAAAGAGTCGAACCCACTACCTTACTCAACATTATGCTAAGGAAAGATGCATGTCAGCTAAGAGCATCAACCACTTTTTTTAAAGCCCCTGACTTATGCTTTAGGACAAAGGGGAACTGTTGTATATATGCTGCCTAACCTGCATGGCATCGAGAGAGCTTCTCCTCAAACAGTATGTAGGTAGTGGCCATTGCGTTATTGCCTCCACCTTGGACTGGTCCATTGAAATCCCATCCTTGGAGATCATGTAGTCCAAACATGACACTATCCATCGTAAAACTGAAATGACCTCCCATAGGTCCTTTCAATGGCACTGTAGATAAGGATACATAACTCCTTGGTGGCATCATAGATAAGAATATCATTGAAATAAAAGATGACAAAATTGCCAATGAACGGACAAAATACCTCATTCATGACTCTCATGAACATACTAGGAGCATCAGAAAGGTCAAATGAAATAACAAGCCATTCATAAAAACCCTCAAGCATTTTAAATGTTGTCTTCCACTTATCTCTGGGTCGAATTTGGATTTGATGGTATCCACTCTTTAGGTCAACTTTGGTGAAAACCCTAACTCCACTCAACTGATCTAACAAATCCTCCAATCTTGGAATCGGGAACCTGTAACGAACAGTGATCTTATTAATTGTCCGGCTATCCACGCACATCCTTTACGTACCATCTTTCTTGGGTGTGAGCAAGGCTGCACAAGGACTGTGACTCTCCTTAATATGCTCCTTGCCCAACAGCTCCTCTACTTGCCTCCGAAGCTCCTCATACTCATTGGAGGTCATTCGATAATGTGGTCTATTGGGCAAATAATCCCCGGGAACCAAATCAATCTGGTGCTGAATATCACACAATTGAGGTATCTTGTCTAGGAACACATCCTGAAACTCCTCAAGCAGGGATTAAAGGGTTTCAAGGACAGAAACTCCACTAGCTTGCTCCTTGCAGACTAACACAAAAGCAACTTGTCATGTCCTCTCCAATAGGAGGTGACATGCATCCATAATAATCAAATCGCATCGCATTTATCCCTATTCTTTGACCCAATAAAGAAGGACGCTAAACATTGTTTAGAAATAGTTACCTCATTGTTCTTCTTAAGTCAAGCCAACTTGTATGGTTTAGGGTGCTTCTTCATAGATAGCCCCATTTTCAAGATGATTTCCCCCGTCACCACGTTCTCACAGCTACCTGAATCAATAACTAGGCAACATACTTTTCCACTTATGGTGCATGTAGAATGAAATATATTATTTCATAACCACTCTTTCCCATCTTCAACTCAGAGGGCTAAGCAAGCTCATCGAATAACTAATAGTGGTCCCACATCTTCTCCTACTTGTTCTTCTAGACAATTGTCATCTTCAATTACATAATATGTGACTATCTGATATACTCTATATAGGATTCCTCCTGGACATCCTCTCTTTCTATGAATAAGTTGTTCATAGGCCTGTCCCCTTTCCTATATTCCACCATCCAATGGCCCATTTAACCACACTTGAAACACTTTACAGTGTTGGCCGACCCTATAGGTCACACAACTATCCCCTCCCCTCCAATATGCTTGTCAGTGGGTGCTAGTGGATTGGGAGGGCGATTAAGAGGTGTCGAGTTATCTCCTCCTACTAGAACCAGTACTCTCAAACCAGTTACTGTTTTCCCCAACTCTCCGACTCAACTAATTCTTTAATTGAATGGCCCCGCCGAACGGATTCAAGGTATCTTGAATTTAGGGTTGTAAGCTTCCAATATAATAGGGAACCAATTTGTCCTCTATCTCAGTTAGATCATTGCATGCAACTAATTGATAAAATTCAGTAGCATATTCATTCAGAGGACGATTACCTTGCCACACGTGTAATTATAGGGTACAAAGGCCTCTTGCATATGCTTTTTCAGTTTGTCCCACGTGCCTATCTTCTTCTTCTTTTGCCAATGATGAGTTTTCTTAGAGTGCTGCCGCCACGCAGCGACTCTTCCACAAAATCTCGTTACCACCAATGTAATTTTTTTATTCTCAGGTACTTCTTTGAACTACAAAACTTCCTCAATGGTGTAATCCCAAAGGAATTTTTCAAGTTGTAGACTACCTTGGAAATATGACATGTCAATCTTCAATCCAAACTCCCATTGCCAAGAATCGATCTCTGGCGAGGTGGCTCATCTCTCCTTAACCCTGGGTGGATGCCCAATGAAAAGGATTGTCATCAACGTCCACCAGACTCTTTGTTTCCTCTTCCACCCATTGTAGATTATGGGGTCGTTGTTGCGGTTGTACTTGTTTTTGTTGAACAAAAGCAGTCAGGTCTACCATCTATTGGGCTAATGAATCAAATTGTTGTTGCATTCTTGCATCTCTCGCATTGAACTATGTTTCATAGATGTCCTCCATAGGTCTTCTTCTAGGCGGCATGGTGACAAGAACATAACTGGGCTCTGATACCAACTGATGTAGGGAAACGGGTAGAAAAAAGGATATGATAAACAAGAATGAGATAATAAAATTATACCGTTGATTTGCACACAAATACCGATTTAGAATCCTAATCTAGAGCTGTTGATTCAAAAAAATATCAGTTTTAAAGACTTCAATTGATCTGTTGATTCACAAAGAATATAAGAATAATTGAAAATAGAAAAGAAGCTCTCTCAATTGTATTCCTAAAAAAAACTACTTAGCTCTAAGGCTTACAAAGGTATAAATTAAGGATGTCAGCTCTGACCTGTTAATACGAACCTGACACGAACCTAACATGAATGATTATAAAATTGACGCGATTATTATATATGCATAATAATAATATTCTCGTTACCACCAACGTAATTTTCTTATTCTCAAGTACTTCTTGAACTCCAAAACTTCCTCAACAGCTTGATCCCAAAGGAATTTTTCAAGTTGTAGACTGCCTTGGAAATACGGCAGGTCAATCTTCAATCCAGACTCCCCATTGCTGGGAATCGATTTCTGGCATGGTGGATTCCCAATGAAAAGGATTGTCATCAACATTCACTAGACTCTCTGTTTCCTCTTCCACCCATCGTGGATTAATGGGTCGTTGTTGCGATTGTACTTGTTGTTTTTGTTGAACAAAAGTAGTCAGGGCTACCATCTACTAGGCTAATGAATCAAATTGTTGTTGCATTCTTGCATCCCTTTCATTGAACTACGTTTCATATATATCCTCCACAGGTCTTTTTCTACGTAGCATGGTGACAAGAACATAAATAGGCTTTGATACTAACTGATGCAGGGAAGCGGGTAGAAAAAAGGGGTATGATAAACAAGAATGCGATAATAAAATTATATCATTGATTTGCGCACAAATACCGATTTAGAATCCAACTCTAGAGTTGTTGATTCAAAAATACCCCTTTTGAAGGCTTCAATTGATCCGTTGATTCACAAAGAATACAAGAATAATTGAAAATAAAAAAGAAGCTCTCTCAATTGTATTACTCAAAAAAACTACTTAGCTCTAAGGCTTATAAAGGTATACATTAGGGATGTCAGCTCTGACCTGTTAATACGAAGCTAACACAAACCCAACATGAATGATTATAAAATTAACACGATTATTATATATGCTAATAAATAGTCAAAATTAATGTTTAATAATCAAAACACATTAAATAGATTTTTTTGTCATGGATCTTAACACGAACACGACACGAATAACAATGATACTGCACAAATAACACAACATGCGGATCTCATAAATACGACACGATTAACACCCCTAGTATAAATAGTGCTAAAACCCTAAAACATTAGAAAATAATCAAACATGACCTAATTATCATTAATTATGTAATTAGGTCATTCATATAGATTTTGCCAAAAAAAAATTCAAACTAACTAGACTACTAAAACTACTAATCACCTAAATTAAGGTAGAGCTGACAGCGATCAATTCTGACTTTAGACGATAAAATCAAACTACAAAATATTACCAAAAAGGGAAAAAAAAACATCCTTTTCAGACCCTACACGATGGATTTTGCCCGAAATACACCCTGGGTCATTGCATCCCCTATTAGGGATGCGATGAGTTCATTTTGTCCCGTCGTTGTTGATTAAACATGGGTGTTTGGAAACCAATGCATGTCAAAGTGCCTCTAAAAAGGTCAATCCATTTGAATGGTCCGAACTACCCGACATTGATCTCATCGATACAAGTATTGTGCTGCTATACGATCTACATCACTAGCACGATATTACGGATGATGTTTTTCTTTTTACTGCTTGCGATTCACGATCCTTTTAATATGTCATGTCATTAAGAAATCAATTGCGTTACAATGGCTTTCGCTACCACTAATTCCTTGACTAGTAATGTTATACTGACCAAATTTTGGGATCAAATTTGAAACTCAAAAGACATGACAACATATTATTTAGAGCTTTTATTGAGGTCCAAATGACATGTCACCAAATAAAAAAGCTCAAGTCAGCTGTCATGCTATTTAAGTTCCAAATTTGATCCCAAAATTTGGTCAGTGTAGCATTACTATTCCTTGACATTACATAGCGGTCGAAAATTATCTCACTATCGTAGTGGTATACTTTTCCAACACACTTTATCATCAATCTTTACGTTTTCTATGAACGTTTTCTATAAGACAAGATGTTTGATGATCAATTTTCTTAGATAATAGAAACTATCATAACTACGTGTTATTTGGATTAGTTGTGAGCTTCAATGCTAAATGGAACTCACAATCATTCCAATGGTTATATGTCATTAGATCTCTAAATAAGATCCAAATAGCATTTCCCTTATCTTTATGGAAGTTTCTAATTACATGTGTCTCCCAATCTCACATATATCATATGCAATCCTATCCGATCGCCGACTCTTTTTGGAAAATACCTCGGCACCATATGGAATCGACATTGTTATAATATGTGACCTTTGCATGAAGGAGATCAGATACAAAAACCACCAACCAACTATGGGCTCATTTGGTAGCCGTATTAAAAATAGATGGATTAGATAAAGTAATGCAGTCTAATACAATATAAATGGATTAAAGACAAGACTAAATATGGTATTAGAATAATACATAATTTTTTCTAGTGTTTGGCAATATACAATATAAGCATTGGATAGTAGTTATTTAATCAGAGAATTATTTCAATGTATTAATGTTAAATTAACAAAAATATTCTCAATTAATATTTGTTACATTGATGACAACTTGAATTTATCACTTGTGGGGTTATAATCAGTGTTATCAGAACCAAATCGGACTGGCCGGTTCAACTAGTTGGACCATGAA